AAAAACAGCTGATGAATAGCCCTGGCCAGTTTGGCTCAGCAGTTGGAGGGTCAGCCTGTGGACTAGAGAGTTCTGGGTTCGGTTCCCTCTAGGGGCACGTACCATAAAAAATTTAAAAAAAAAGCTGATGAACAAAATAGACCCAGAGACATAGAAGTAGGGTTCAGACTAACAAACCTTAGTGGAGGGGAGGGATAAACCAAAGAACTTATATGCATGTATGCGTAACCATGGATATAGACAACAATGCTGTCAGGTAGGGATGGGGATCAGGAGGAGGATGTCAATGGGGGAAACAGAGAAACATCTATAACAAAAATACATTAATTAATTAATTAATAAAAAATTAAAAATACAAGATGGCCCAGGTAAGACTTGGTGGGCTTTGAAGTGTTTTTGGAGCCAAACCTCTGGCTCTGTAAAGATTATTCGTAAAACAAGGACAGTTGTTTTTAATATCTCAAAACCTGGGTTGCCATCAAAATTTTGACAAAGAACTGACTAATTTATACACCCATTTTGTAATATTTCTTTCTTTTTCATCTGGTATATTTCAGGCTCTCAAGAAATTATAGAGATATGTAGGTTATAGTACATAGCTTAGGGTCATCCCTGAGAGCCATAGACACTTGTTGGGACCTCCGTCCATTTCCCTGGGACAGGCAAACAGTTCTAGCTACAAGTCGTACACAGGTCTGGGTTGTCCCTTAAGGCCAAAGGCTTGTGCATACGGGACTTCAGTCCATTTTTCCTGATGATGGCAGAAAAGATCTAGCTAGAGAATGGTGTTATAATTAAGGCTTCTATTCTTCAGCCAGGCCTCCTGCTTCCCCAGCTTGTATTTGGGGACATGCTATATTGCAGAAGAACACTAATCTCTTTTTCTTTAGGGTTTTGGGATCAATTTCGACCAGTTCTTGAGGATATATTCTAGGGGCAAGTCCTGAAGAATGGAGAGTTGGTTTCTCATCTGGAAGAGAACAGAGAGGAGTACGAGAGAAATAGGTGTCCCCGTTTACCCTCGCCTACAGTGGGCTCAAAGGAGAGCATCTCCTGCTTCATGCCCAGGATTCCAGACTCAGCTAGTCTAACTGTACAACTCGTCCTAAGTCTCATGGGAGAGACCACATCCCTACACTTACCAAGGGGATCTCCCTTCTCTCCAACCCCTTGTTGCTGGGGTTAAGATGCACATCCTAGTCTTGATGATCTGAGCTTGCCAGTGTATCTCTTGTTTTTTCCATATCCCCCAAGATTCATATGGAGGTCTGGCAGGGCAGCACCTGATGTCAGGGACAGGATCTGACTTATTGTTGTCCTTTCATTAATTTCTTAAATTCCCAGAAAAAGTGGTGGACCCACTGGAGATGACTCACAGTGTGTAGAAAGATTTGCCATCTTCTGCCCGGGGTCTCTCTTTTGTCCCATCATTTTTTTCTGATTTCCATAGCCCTTTTCAAAGTGACCTGGCTCTCTAAAATAAAAACACAGTTCTCCTCCAGTTGTTTCCTAGCAGACCTTATTTAGTAATTCTGTTGTTTTGCTCCCAGAAACGAGTAGATACATTAATTGGAATAGCTTAGAAAAGCCAGGACCATATTCTCTAACAGTTAAATTAAGTTCCTTTGCAAAACCCATCAGGGCCCTGGAGAAAATCAGGGAAATCTTTAGATTCCTTAATTCTTGTTTAAGTACAGGGAATGTATACAATCTCTGTTTCCTCTGTCCTTTGAGATTGTTCTTTCTGGTTCTTCTGTCCTGAGTGCAATTTACCTGTGCTTCTCCTAGAAGCCTCTAATTTCCAATCAAGATAAGCTTCCAATTTATGCAGTTTTCATTTTAGTGCTGGCTTTTTATTTTTTCTAATTTTGTATGCAAAAATTAATTTAGGCATCAAAAGAGCTAGATTTTGGGCATCTTAAATTGCTATCGCTTCTAGTTAATTCTTCCTACTTCTGTAAGTACTTATAAGTAAAGATTTTCTGTTAATTGCATAGCTACAATGGCTGGGGTCTGGGAGTTTCCAGCCTTGGAGGCACAATTTCCTGTGTTCTATTCAGTTTTGTTTTGAGATCTGTAGGGTCTGCACAAATTTCTAGGGATTCTAAGTAGTAAGTTGGAAGTGTGCCGTGTGTGAGTTGAGCTCCAAGGGGCTTTTATCTCCCGAGTCATCTCAGACCCTTTTACATGTCTCAGTTACTTTCCCTGGTCATTTAATACAGCTGTGAGGACTCGGACCATAGGTAAGAATCCTCTATGTGTGTGTTCCTGGACAAGTCAAATATTTAGTTACAGTTGAGTTGAGATTCCATATGGGCCTCCTGCGTGCCATGGGGGATGCCCCCTGGCACCTCCACAGAGATTTTAAGTCACCTAAGAATGCACAAGATTCAAGCTGGAGGGAGGGCTTGCCCTTTATCTTCATTCAGAGCCAAACAAGTTCACGCCCTCATTTATCCAGCAAAAGGTTTTGGTCAGACCCTCAGAAATCAATTCCAATTAAAAAGCCAAAGTTAAAAACCACACATCCATTTTTTCCCCCATCCTTAGTTGTCTTGACCCTTATCTATAGCCTAGGTTCTATTGAACACTCAACTTTTAGCTCCACCATCAGGATTAAAAAACAAAACACAAAACAACAACAACAACAAAAGCCTGAATTTAACTCCAGACATAAAGGAAGGAAGAAAAGAACATCCTTCTAGGCAAAAGGCAAGGACCTCTCTCTTTCTCCATTGCAACTAGTTACCTGACAGGGAGAGCTTTGGGGAATGACCTTGTGTGATTTTACAGTGTTCCTGGGTGGATGGACATTGTCTTGCAGTTGGCGGGGTGCTTACTACAAACTTCCCCATCCAGGACCAAGCAACCTTGTCACTGGAGTCTTCTAGCGGCAAGCACCTTAACAGCGTTTAAATGCTTGTCTCATGCCCACACAGCACAGCAGTCTGCTGAGAGAGAGAAAACCCCATGTCCAGATGAAAAAATGCAAAGAGGAAGGAAACACAGTTAGTCATGTCCTTCAAACCAAGGTGGCAAAGACAACCAGCTTACCAGTGACAAAACGATCTAAGTCATAGTAAGAACACCCATGTTATGGCACCAAATATGTTACCAGTGAGATGAGGAAACCTCGGTTCTTGTCTTCTTGAAGGAAAGATTTCAGTCCAGAGACAAAGTGCAGCAAAGCCAGTGAGAACTTATTGGCTGCAGCAAAAACACCCCTGGGACGGTGAGACAAGGGCTTAGCATACAAGCAACAGGAGAGCCCACGCTGGGCTGCTCTGGCTCACTGGGAAGTCAGGGTTCCAGGGGGTTAGGACGGGATGAGCTGCCACTGCCATTGTTCCCCTGGTTGCAGTCTAGTGGGGTGTCTTAGAGGGAAGAATTGGGGGGAAGGGAATGACAAAGGCATGCTTCCCTTGGTGAGAGTATGCACTGGGTCCTTCATGTTGAGGGTATTTATCTCCCTCCTGTGTTGCAGACCAACGAGACACACCAGACTCAGACTCCGAACTGTGTTCAAATTAAGAGAGCTTTATTAGTTGCTTGGGGACTGTCCCATCCTATGCAGAGGAGAGAGCAGCCCCGAGCTTAGGGGGTAGGTTGCTTATATAGTTGTCTTTGCCTGTGTTAAGGAATTTGGGCTAAGGGTTTGCGAGCAGGCAAGCATGTACAGAAGCAGATATTTGTGGTTAGCAGTTTCAGTGTACACAAAACAATGATTATCTATCTATACAATGCAGTGGTTATTAACTCTAGCAGCTAGTTCTTGCCATTCCCTTAAAATCCAAGGGATAAGGTCTGCCTAATGGAAAATTTTTCTGTACATTCACATAGCATGTGTTTGTCCTTCACACCTGCAGGTGGGAATCTTAGGGGAGGTCTCAGGGGAGGGTCTCAATAGAATATTTATCAGTTTTCCAGGTGTGCTTTTTCAGGGTTGTGGTCTTTGCCAATTGGTCAGAGCCAAAGGAAGGTCAATGCAGTTGGTCCTGAGGCAGCCATGGAGTCACCTGTCTGGTTTTGATGTTTTTCTGTACCTGGAGTTAAAATACAACCAAGACCTAGATGTTCTCCTTAGGGAGGAAAAGGTCAGGGGGTCCAAACTGCATGACCAGCCATATGCTAGGATACAAAAAATTAGCCTAGGTGTGAGGTCCTTGTTTTTTGTTTTGCCCCTTGCTAAGTACCTGGGGCTTTCTGTCCTGGTGAGCTTCTGCAGTTGGCCCACTGTCCTTGCTTTGCTCCTGTCTAACCACATATCACAACTACACATTGGACTCCTCCTCCTACAGGCTCCCTTCTTAGAGAAGGGCTCCCTTCCTAAAGGGGAGGGATCCCCGCCATAGAAAAAGGCACCCTCCCTCAGAGAGGGGACTCCATGCCTGGAGTGGGGATCCCCACCTAGAGGGGGAGTGAGGGTTTCCCTCCCCAGGGAGGGGCTGCGCTCCCTCCATAGTGCAGGGGCCTCTCTCTGTGGGGCGTGGGGTTCCTTCCTTACCACAGGGAGGGTACTCCTTCCAAGGTGAGGGGTTGGGGGGCCTCTGGAGCACAGGGTTCCCTCCTTAGCAAGGGGATCCCGCAGTAGTGAAGGGAGATCCCTCCCCGGAGATCCCTCCCCATCCCGATGGAGCGGTTCCCTCCTTAGAAAGGGGGAGGGAGTCTGTGTAGGGAGAGGATGGATCTCCTTTCCAGGGATGGAGCCCCGCTCTGGGTAGGGAGCCCGCCCCTAACTGTCAGGGATTCGGGTGCGCCTGCGCTCTGAGGGGCCAGCGCCCGCCCCTCACAATCTCGACGCCAGAGACCTGCGCCCCAGCGCGTGGGGCACGCAAGCCGGCCCCTCCCGACCGCGGCGCCTGCGCACTGCGGCGTGGCGCCGGCCCCGCCCCACCATGGCGCCGGCCAAAGCCGCAGCCTGCGCTTTGCAGGCTGCCCTTCCTTTTCGTGGCGGCGGGAGGGGCGGGGCGAGACGGGCCTGCGCCCCCGGGCAGCGATCATGTGACCGGGAAGATGGCGGCCTTCCCCTGGTAAGGGCTGTGCAGCAGTGGGGCTTGGGGACGGCTTGTCCTGGCGTGTCCTTGTCTCTGTCTCCGTCTCGGAGCGTGTGCTCAGTGTGTGTGAGCTCCTCCACTGGGTGCTGGGGAGCCTCCCGCCCCACGCCGGTTGTCCACCCGGGGAGCTCCGTGGGCCGGCCGGCGGGATCTTGGTTCTCTCCAGGGCCACGCTCCGGCGTCCGTTTCCCAGGAGAGCCGGTGCGGGTTCCGGGCGCTGGATGCCGAGGACGGACGCAGCTGAGCCCGGACAACGGGCGCCGGTTTGCTCCCCAGGCCCCTCAGTGCATCTAGAGGAGACGCTCTTCTCTTCTGGGCCGTGTGCCCTGCCCGAGCGTCCCGCCGGGCTCCGCTGCAGCGCTGCAGACTGCCCTTTGCCCTCGCGGGCTGGCGGTTTCCCGGGAAAGACGCACAGGGTAGAAGGCGCCCAGGGGAGGTTGCAGAAAGGCAGAGGCAAAAACGGTTTTGCAGGATGTGCGGGGGCGTGCACCTGCAGGGGCTGCCGGGCCCAGCGAGCTTCTGTGGCTGCAGTGGTTGGAGCCCCGAGCGGGCTCCCCGAGTATGTGGAGGACGCAGCCGGTTGTGATTATGATGATGGAGTTATTTGGGGATTGAGTTCATGCTTGTGTCTCAGAAAGGAAGATAATTTTCTGATTTTTCTTCCCAAATAATGTGAAATGGTTTACATGGAATGAGAGAGTAAATGCAAGAATATTCAGCCAATCAACGTAAGAAACATTCAAACCTGGGAAGAATTTTGTGAATTTATTTGAGCCAAACTGTTCACACACGCAGGGAAGCAAAACCTCAACGACGCGAGATAATCCAGAGAATGGCAGCGTTGCACCTTAATTTATACATTACCATCTAAAGAGAAGGCGGGACTGGGTTACCTGAAATCCACTGGCGATAGAGTAGGGAAGTAGGGGAAACTAAAGCAAGGAAATCTCTGGGGTTGGATGACAAGTAAAATGATAGACACAGACATCTTTTACACAGGTGGGCACAGGATAGTTAACAGCCAACAATTAACATGATAATAACAATGAGGGGATTTGTGGTTTCTGCCCTGATGCATAGGTTCTGCTCTGAGGGGTCTGGAAGAAAGGAAGTTACCCCACATTCCAAAGGTGTGTCATCTTAGATGCAAGAAAAAGAAAAGGCAGTAGGATCACTTAAGGTGAAAATCCACCTTTGTCAGGGAAGATGCCATGAACTGCTTTTAGTTAAAGTTTTAATTTCAGACCATCCTTTGTGGTTACTTTAAGTCTTTGAGTTTGCAAGGCTGTAACACAGGCCTTCCATGAGTTTGTCAGGTTAGCATGTGGCCCCTTTTTGTTCACAAGTCCCAGACCTTAGAAATAATCAGATACAGGCAGACCTTGGGGATTTTGTCGGTTGGGTTCCAGACCACTGCAGTAAAGTGAGTTGTAATCAAAGTTTGCTAGTGGAGTGTCGTACCTTCAGTTTGTTAAAAAAAAGGGGGGGGGGCAATATCTGTTAAGTACAATAAAGCCAAGTGCAATAAAACGAGGTCGGCCTGTACAACCTTCTGGGTTTCTGCTTGCTTCACAGCTGTCTTCCCTTCACCCAGCTACCTGTGTCTTCCTTCCAAAGCTTGCACACACTAAAACAGGATTGGGTGCCACTGAGGTCTTCCAACCCAGAGTTTTCTTTGACCTGGTCATATGAAGCGGCTTTTAGGGATTTATTAAGGCTTACGCACAAAAATGGGAGAAACACCTGGCCTCAGTTATCTGGAATGTTGTTATTAGAAAATTCAGGAAGATGCTGTTTTCATCTCTGCCTCTCAGTGTGTTTTACCCTTGCTGTTTTCACTTTAAAAATTACGAACGGAGAGAGGTGCATCTGAGGTCTCCAAAATTCTTAATCTGGCCATGCTCAAGACATTTTTCTGTGCGGTAGCACATGGTCATCATTCAGTTTCCCCACCTTTGTTGCTCCTTAGGTAAGAGACTGAGTTTTAACTATACCTGGATCCCCAGTGCCTGGCATGGAACTTAGCAGATAGTAGGTGCTCAGTAAAATTTTGGAATGCATGAAGAAACTGAGCCCCACAGAGGAGAAATGTGTTTCTGCCACTGTTTTTGACATATATCAAGCCTTTATGTTGTGCCACACACTGTGCTAAGTGTTTAACTTGCAGCATCTTATGTAATTCTTAACAGCTCTGCTTTTCTGATGAGGAAATTGAAGGAGAAGGATGAGGCAGTTAGTTCACTTAGTCCCGGAACCCACAGGAGTGCTGAGGTTTTCAGCCCAGAGCCTGGGACCTTACTCATTGTTGAGGTTTCTGGGTTTTGGTGCCCTACTGTGTTGTCCTGGGTCTTTCCAGAATTCCTTTTGTCACAAATGTTATCTCTGATATGTTTTGGGTTAGCCTAACATGTGATATGTCCAGTGCGTCCTGCATCACATTTCCTATTTGCTCCCCTGTAACTGCAGGAAATGCCAAGGAGCAAAAAGTAAATTTGAGAAAATAATAAAGTATAAAGAAGTGGTAGAAAAAAATAAAAATACAGCACTTTGACATGACTTCAGGAAGGGGAAACATTTCTCTTTTTTTAAAGGTTTTCCCAGAAGCTTTTATTTATTTTCCAAAGAACTCCCCTCAAACTTCAAAATAATAACAATAATAATAATAATAATAATATGAAAGCTCAGCCCTTAAAAAAAAAAGGCAGATAATTGCTTAATTTTTCAGGTTTTAAACACTAATGGATGGTCTATAGGAGGTTTGAATTGGAGTTGGGCTGCCTTGGTTTGAATCCTGCATGCTCCTGTCATGTCCCAACAGAGAGAGGAAAGTGGGCATACTAATAGCACCGTCACAGTAAGAAATGTCCAAATCTATGGAGAATGTTTATGAGTTTATTTGAAACAAACTTACAATAATACCTGGGAGGCAGTCTCAACAGAGAGTGCTCCAGAGAACGGCGCAGTTTATTTTGTAAATTAGAATCAAAGGAGGAGATGTAAGGAGGGGGTACATGAAATTCATGAGTGGTAGACTAATGGGGTAGGGGAAGCAAAGCAGGGAAGTCTCTGAGCTTGGATTAAGAATTAAACAGAGAGACATACTTTTGTTCAGTGGGTAGAGGATAGTTAACATTTACAGCACGAGGAGATGGTATACAGGGAACAAGATAACCATGAGGAGTTCTGTGGTTTCTTGTTCTGGGGAGAGGTGCCCTGAGGGGTCTGGAAAAAAACAGGATTACCCTGACAGTATTGGATGCAAACAGACAGGTAAAGATTGACCTTTGTCAAGGAAACTGCAGGCCTAAGATGTGAATTTTTTTGTTCAGACAATCTTGTGCTGTTTTGTATGTCTCTTGAGTTGGTAAGGCCACCATATGGGCCTCCCCTGAGCTTTAGTTTAGTATGTGGCCCTTTTTCCTTCCTCGGCACCTACCTCCTAGGGTTGATGAAATGAGGAACTTGGAGGTGAAAAGCTTGACCTGATACCTGGTATACAATAATCACCTAATAAATGAGAACTGTTATTATTTCACAGCAAGTCATATAGTGCTTTTGAGGTATTGCTTTTCCCAGCTGTTGATTGATTTGGTAGTTATTATAGAGATGAAAACATTTGCAGCTGAATTTCTGGTCAGGTGATATTTCTGTTCATTCTATTGATAAAGGTCTTGGTGATCTGAAAGAACAAGTGTAATTCAGTTTTTAAAACTTTATTATGGCTGCCTAGCCAGTGTGGCTGAGTGAATTGAGCATCATCCTATGGACTGAGAGGTCCTGATTTGAGGATTCCCAGTCAGGGCACATAGCCGGGTTGTGGGCTCCATCCCCAATGTGGGGACGTACAGGTACAGGAGGCAGCTGATCGATGTATCACATCGATATTTCTATCTCTCTCTCCCTTCTTCTCTCTCTAAGAAGTCAAAAACATATATATACATATACACACACACACATATATATGCATAATATATGTATATATAAAAAACATTTATGGCTATTGTTCTAATTTATTCTTGGGGTTTTTCTTGTTTTATTTTTTATTCAATTTATTGGGGTGACATTGGTTAATAAAATTATTTAGATTTCAAGTGTACAATTCTATAATACATCATCTGTATATTTACTACCCAAAAGCCAAATCTCTTCTGTCACCACAGTTTGACTCCCTTTACCACTCCTACCAACGGGTGACTGTCATACTGTTGTCAGTGTCTATGAATGTTTATTTGTTTGTCTTGCGTATTTGTTGCTTTCAGTTTTATATTCCACATAAGAGTGAAATCATATGGTTCTTGACTTTTTCTGTCTGACTGATTTCATTTAGCATTGTATTCTCAAGGACCATCCACAAATGGCAGTATTTCATCTTTTCTTATGGCTGAGTAGTGTTCCAGAGTATAGATATACCGTATCTTCTTTATCCAGTCCTCTATTGAAGGACACTTTGGTTGTCTCCATGTCTTGGCCACTGTGAATATTGCTGCAATGAACATAGGGATGCATATATCTTTACAAATAAATGTTTTCAATTTTTGGGGTAGATGTCCAGAGAGGGGTTGCTGGGTCATGTGTTATCTCTGTTCTTATTTTATTTATTTATTTTTTGAGGAACCTCCGTATTGTTTTCCATAGTGGCTATTACCAGTTTATAGTCCCACCAGCAGTGAATGAGGGTTCCTTTTTCTCCACAGGTGTGAGGTGGTATCTCATTGTAGTTTTGATTTGCATTTCACTAATAGCTAGTGAAGTTGAGCATCTTTTCATGTTTCCATTGGTCATTTGTATGTCTTCTTGGGAGAATTATCTGTCCAGGTCCTCTGCACATTTTTTTAAATTGAATTGTTTGTTTTGTTGTTGAGTTGTGTTCTTAAGATATTTTGAATCTTAACTCCTTATTGGAGGTGTTGTTTGCAAACACCTTCTCCCATTCGGTTGGTTGCCATTTTGTTTTATTGACGTTTCTTTTGCTGTGT